TGTCCTATCTCAAGACATACTTGCAAGCTCATTGACATGACATGACCAGTTTTTGACATCATGACCAAGTTTGCCTTTTACGCTGTCTGCTTTCACATTGATAACTACTGGCCTGTCCCAAACATAGTCAACTTTGATACAGGTCTTTGAGGGCTGTAGGATGATGGGCTGATTCATCCTTTGAGGTGTCTTGAAGACAGGTCATGTTGTAAGTTGACCATGTATTGAGTAGATATCAACATGAATAGCCTTCTCTAGCTTGAAAGCCAACTTGGGCATGATGTGAGGAACTGATGATGTGGCAATAGCAATATGTAAAGTCATGTCAATCCTTCAGCCATATCCCCATATGAGCTTACAATTATGTCTTGAGATAGGACAGTAGGTATCAATATCAAAGACATAGAATGGCCTTTCCTAATGTGAAAGACAACTTGTGCATGATGTCAAATACTAATGCTGCAGCACTGGCAATATGATGGCAATCCTTCAACCTCATCCCCATAACATAGATAGGGCCAAGGACACCATAAACTACATGTCAACTACAAACTTTTTTAAATGAAAAAGACAAACTCTTCTAATAAAAGCGCAACACTACAAACTTTTGTAGTCTCAAAAAGCGGACACTACAAACTTTTGTAGTCTCAAAAAGCGGACACTACAAATTTTTTTAATGAAAAAGCGCAACACTACAACTTTTGTAGTCTCAAAAAGCGGACACTACAAACTTTTTTAATGAAAAAGCGCACACTACAAACTTTGTAGTCAAGATAACCTTTTGACTCTAACCCTAACTATGTACTCTAAGTCCATGCTTTTGTAGTCTAAGTTCGACTTTTGTAGTCTTTTGTAGTGTATTAGTAAACTTTGTAGTCTAATTTCGACTTTTGTAGTCTTTTATAGTGTATCAGTAAACTGTGTAGTCTAAGTCCGACTTTTTTGTAGTCTATCAGTAAACTTGGTAGTCTATATCTGATTCTTATAGTACAGGATGCACCTTCCTTTTTTGGTCATTTTTCCCATGATACAATAATTGTAGCCCTTTCTTTTAGCTTTCTGAATATACTGAAATCATGTTATTTGGTTTTGTTTTCATAGAGAAAAACACAAAAA